ACAGCACTACTGCAGGCCCCTATTGGGCTCGAGTTCATGGCAGCCCCCTTGGAAAAACTTGGAATATCTGCTTATTGTGCAAGTTGTAACAATAGTTCTTGTGCCCTGACTGTATGGTAATGGAGAGTGTTTAAGCCACTGACAATGCTGAGTTCCTTGAAGTTGCTAATGGGTTAAAGCTGGGACATCTGGTGAAACACTAGCCTCAGCTGTTCCTCAAGTGACATCTTCTTGGGTCAAATTTATCTCTTCTTGCCAGTCCATCTGCTCACAGCCTGTCAGTGATAAACACTTGAGAGCCACAGAGCAAGCGAGGCAGCAGACAGCAGTGAAGGACAGCATCTTGGAGTCTAACTAGATAGTGATATGGGAGCAAAAATAGCCCCAGTGCTCTCCCCCTCCCAGTCATCTTCCTCCCGTTGCACTCCAGGGTCAGGGTCAGGCCAGGGAAGCAGTGTGTGCCACGCTGAATACAGAGCCCAGACCAGGCCACCCGAGGGCTAAGGAGAGGCTTGTTTGTTGCCTAAGGCAACAAGGAAAAAGCCAACAAGCACAACTCAACACACTACTGTACTTGCTCGTCCTTCCAATGTCCCAGGGGAATGGTTCACACCTGTGCTTCCAGCTGGTGAATGTTCATTTCCTTCTGCAAGGCACTCCAGAGCTTCCCAGCCTTTGCTGGCCACCCTGGGCAGCCCTGCCCACATACCAGCCCAGAGCAATGCAGCAAGAGGCAATAAGGGAAGGCACAGGGGAAACGTGCTGCTCAATTTCTGAGGAATTGGTGCATCCAAGGTCCATTGCCTCCTTGCCCATGTCTCTAGGAAAGACACCTTTCTTCCAGAAGGCAATGACCTCACTGTAGATATGACTATAACACACACAGAGTGCTCTCCAAAGCACAAACTCAAGAGCCCAGGTCACCCTGCAGCCTGTAAAACCACAAGGTGGGGCTTGAACATGACGGCTCCAAGGGGATTATGTATCTGAGACCAGAATGGTATAAAACCAATCCAAAAGGGGAAATACTGCAAGGATTCTTGGATGTTAACTGGTGTGTATGTGTGTGTGAGAATGGTATAAAACCCATGCAAAAGGGGAAATACTGCAAGGATTCTTGGAGTTTAACTGGTGTGTATGTGTGTGTGAGTGTGCGTGTGTGAATGGGCAAGGAGTCACTTCACATTAAGGGTACTCTGGAAAAACAGATTAAACTTTCCTTCCATGGTGTCAGCTGACCAGCAATGACCTCTGAAGATGTATTAAACTGAGAGGTCTCAATCTGGTGAATAAATATTTTGATTTAAAAAACAGGTTAAACTTTCCTTCCATGGTGTCAGCTGACCAGCATGACCTCTGAAGATGTATCAAACTGATAGGTCTCAATCTGGTGAATAAATATTTTGGTTTTAAATGGGCAGACACAGCACAAAGACTACAGTTTTGCCCCATGAGTTACAAGGGTATATTCACAGTTAAACAAGCACTCTGTGCTCTTATGTCTTGCTACCACAGTGGTGATGTCCTGCAGCTAGTGAGGATCAGTTTCAAATTGGCCCTTTTCTACGCAATGAAAAACTTCTACCTTGAGTCACTCGGATTCTTTCACAGCAGTGTCATAGCACTGCACTGTGCTATTGCAATGCACCTGCTTGTGACCCGATGCTGCCCCAAACACTGCAAGGAAACATCATCACGACCCCCATGAGGTAACAAGACTTCTTGGCATGCTACGAATACCCTTGAAGAGAAAAAGCTCTTTCACACAGCCAGTGCTATGCAATTGCTCTAATGAGCCACACGACTGTAAGGAAAGCACTTGCCTTCTCCATCCCCCCAATTAATTGCATTACCATCATAACTACCCCCTGTGCCTGGCGCGTGCTGGCAGCTGGCAGAGCCCATGGTTCAAGACGTGCTTGATGCATTGCTGCACAGCAGATCAGGGCACAGACATTTTAGTGTGCGTCAGACACCGCATTTCTCCATCCTTGAAACTGATCCTGCCAGAGTGTGCTCTCTGCAGAGCCAGGACTTTAACCCGAGAGCGCAGCTGCATTTTTAAGTATCATGTTAATACAGTGTTGTGGTGGGGATTTTGTTCAAGGGAGGATGGCTCCACTCTGACCTTTGGATCCAGAGGCACGCTTTAAAATTAAAACCTTTCTTCTTCTGTGACCCACCACCAATTTATCTCCATTCATACAATAGCTCCATTCTAAAAACCATTTGCATTCCTATCTGGTAGTGTGCATGGCACTTTGTACACGCCAGCAAAGGCCAAGAGAAGAACAATACATACTCTTTATTTTTAACCCAAGAAGTCTTTTATAGATGTGTTAACTCACAAAGGGAGAAAGACCTTGGTATTGGCCATCTGGCATGGTGGTATCCCAGCTCTGAGCTTGGAGTCAGAGCTGCAGACCAGGAAATTACATTAAGCCAACAGCAGAGCCAAGCTAAAAGGTTCCTTTGGGAGCCTGGACTCTGGAGAGGACGGAGCAATGAGGATGGTGGCCAGGAAGAGGAGCAGCAGCACTGGGAGTCCTGCTCTGCTTCTGCTGCCACGTGCTCCTGATCCACTGTGGCAAGTCCCCTCCTGGCCATGAGTTTGCTCCTGGTCCTGCACTGCCCCATCCAGCGGGCAGCCTGGAGGCACTGTGTGCCCACGGGGTCTGACCATCCCTGCTGGCATCCTCGGCACAGCCGATCCACTCCGAGAAATGAGACTTCCTTATGTTTTTAATTGTGCTACCCTCTAGTGGCCAATGCCATCCCCTTGGAGCTCGGATCTCCACTCCTGGCAGAGGAGAGGCCTTGGACTGCAAGCCTTCAAGACCAGAAGAGAGCTTGGAGCTGTGCAAAAATGACTTGCACGTTTGAAAGGAAACAGAGCCCTGGCAAGGTCAAATGCTATCCCAGGGTCCACCACCCCAGCTCTGCTTTGGTCTTAGGAAGGGCAAGATCTCCCTGCCCAGGCTGAGAGGTCTTGGCTAGAGCAGGGTGAAGCCAGCTCAATATCAGGTGCTTGCAACACGAAAAGCATCACCAAATTATCACTCTTGGCAGGCTCTCTCAGAGAACAAGCTTCTTTCCTTCTCTGCTGTCTCACACCAGGCTCTCCAACAGCTTGGATGGCAGCAGAAACACTCAACACGTCAATAAAATTGGGTTAGAATTCAAGGAACATCCTTGCAATTACCAAGATAATTGCTACATTTCAGAACCAAACATTACTTAATGGCGCTCAATTATCTTGTGGCAGGGCCTGCAATGGCAACAACTAATTGCTTAACTAAAGACTTTCTTCTTTTCACCCTGTGTCAACACTCATGCATGCAATTAGGCCATTGGTGCAGGGAGGAGAGAAGATACCTGTCGTGAAAAGAGGGGTTAAGTGGCAGCCACAGCCATGTTCCAAAGTTCAGAGGACAAGTGTCTTGCCTCAGACTTTATAAGGATGTGAAGCAGAACCTCAAAAGCCCAGGATCAAACAAGGATGCAGGCTTTTTTCTTCCTGTCTCTGAACAAAGACCTCAAATGACTACACAATGTGACTAGTGGCCCTCTTACAAGCCCATAGGCCCCTGAGGCTCAGATGCATGTCAGTAGCCTTTTCACAGTTTATCAATCTGCAGAGTTCATAGATACTCTCAAAAAGAAAAAAAAAAAAACACACAATAAATTGCCTAAAAGCTAAAAGAAGACATTGCCTTGGTTACTTTCAAGCTGTTGAAAACCTGCTTGTTGTTAACCTCTTCACTGAGCATCTCTTTCATAGGAAAGAGAAGCAATGGGAAAATAGGTGCACTTTACTCGTTATTTTCCATTTCATCACTTCTTCACAATTCTCTACTATCTCAAGAACTCTCTTAGGCAGAGCCTTTCACTTTGCTTTGACACAGAACTACTCCTTGTCCCTCGAGTTCCTGTTCCTTCTCCCTGGCTTTTTCAGCCTCTCCTCTCCTGGGTGTTAAAACAAGACCCCAGATCAGGCCATGACCCTTGAAAACTTCAGGTCCTGGTTTCTACTCCTCACTGGTCATGTTTCGTTTGTTCCTCTGACCAGACAGGGTTCACCACAGAGCCAGCCCCAGGCCTTGTGTCCTGAACATTGGCTACCCTGCATCCAAGGGCTGTTCCTGTTCAGCTCTGCTCATCCTTTCCAGACTCACATTTCTCAGACAGGAATTCCTAAGGCCATTTGTGCGGTCAGTTACCAGCTCAACTTCTTCCCCTCCTTGCTACTCTTAAGGACAGTTTTTAGTTTTTTCATTCATCATAGTTTCCACAGAAGCAGTAAACAAGCCAGGGTTGACTGTCCTGCTCAGAGCCCCTCCTTGGGAGCCTTCAGTTTGATGTAAAACTGTCTGTTCTCACCCTGGTTTTCTATGTTTGTCTGTTTAACTTACAATTACAGTTTACTCTCATCCTTTAAGTTACTGAACACTCCTGTGAAGATTTGAGACAAATGCTTCAGGCCCCCAAATTTTATCTTTCAAATATCCATTTTCCTCTTTGCTACATTAGGAGCTTTCACAAGCTAAAGGACATGGTCTCCTCTCCAGAACACCACAGCAGTTTTTCCTCATTTCTCCCCATCACTTATGTCCTGTGCATGCTCTTTGGACTTGCATTCCAGTTACAAGCTGAGAAAGGGGACAGGAGCCAGTGGGGTACTAAGACCATGCAGACTCAAACTGGTTGCTTAAAAGAATCATAATCCAGCAAGGGAATAGTTAACACTCCCTAAAACTGAGGCAGTTTCACAGCACACAGTTCAGTTTGCTAGCAACGCGCCCTCTCCATTTTCACACGCGTGCACACAGGCCAATTGTTTCACAGGAATAACCTCACCTGCAATTAGACACTGTTTTAAGCCTTTGATCTCTATAACTCTCCAGAGGACAGCAAGATTCCCACATGAAAGTGTTTTATTATTTTATTCCACACTTGGGAGTGATCCTATGCTCCTGGATTTATTAAAAAAAAGTCCTTACCTGATCTCAGAGATTCCCATTGAGCTGAATAAGGCTGGGGCAAGTGGAAAAGCTCCCTTTGGGGGCAGGTTCTCTCAGGTGTTAAAGGTAAGTGAGTGCAGCCCCCACCTGATGGCCTTCACCTGCTCTCTGAGCAGGCTGCTGCTCTGCCAGCATCAAACCCATCCCGGAGATGGACTTCTTGGGGACATGTCTTGTCTTGCTGATTCACTTCCTAGGGTAAATTTATTTCTTTGAGCTATTGTCCAATTCACAGTTAAGGATCAGCACACGTTGCTCCTTTCCAGGAAGCTTACCTTAGCTGTAGGATAGGAGACATTGCATCTGATCCTGTAGCACCAGCTCGGGCCAGAGGCTGCACACAGCTCCTGAAGAGCCCATTGCCAGATTTTGCCTGGCTGTTTTTCTAAGAAAAGGGATGGGGCAGAGCAGGTAGCTCAGAGGCCCAAGCCATAGGTCTGGTCCCAAAGAAAACAAAACGTCAGGGCCTCAAGGCTCTTAATTAACTCTATTAGAGTGATAATCATGGCCTGCCCAACCCCAGGGGAATGGAAAAAACCCAGTGTGAAATGCATATAAAGGTATTGGACTGAAACATGAATATTTTCACCCACTGTCAGCGGTTAGGAAGCAGGGGGGGTGGGAGGACAGTGAAAATATCATCAGCTCAAGGAGATTCTGGTTTAGCACCAACACAAAGGAAACAACCTAGAAGTCAAAGAGATTTCTGTGAAGTGTATTTGCTTTTTGCAGGGCTGCTTTCGAAACATCTGAAAATTTTAGACTATATCCTTTACAGTTCATTAGTGCACAGTAAAATATGCCCAAACCACTTCCTTTATTTGTTTTTTTAAATTAGATGTGGCTTAAAAATAAATCTCTCACATTTCCTTGCAAAAGAACAGATAGGACAGTGCTTTAAGAAAGCCAGTACTGTTTCCATGTGCAAGAGCTGTGCTCCAGTGATGAGGTTCTTTTCATCTCAAAGGGATGTGCTTCCAGAAACTGGTTCAAGGGAGCAGGAGAAGTGCCTGGTTCCCACAGCTACCAGAGTCCATTCAGTGGCTGGTACTGCAGCTTCACAGAATCATCAAGCATCCTGATGTGGAAAGAGCTCAGGAGGATCATGAAATTCCAGTTTTTGGCCCTGCACAGGATGGTTCAAATTTCTGTCTCTTGGGAGCTTCCTCTTTGGACATAAAGAGATGTTACAGGAGTCAGGGCGAAGCCACCCCTCCAGAGTACCATTCCAGGGCTGGTGTGAAAGGACAGAACAGTGAGCAGGTAGCAAGAGGCAGGAGCTACTCTTTTCACTCAAAGTGTGTGGGTTTGGAGTTTGAGATGTAGCACCAGGAAGATGCATAATTAGAGAACCCCAGAAGCTGCTTTAAATTATGAAATCAGCTTAGTTTGCCTGCTGCCTTTGGAAGGAAAACTTCACACCACCTTTGTTCATCTGAGCCTGCAGGCAGGAGATGCTGATCCCAGCCAGTCAGTGGATCAGCACAGCTTTTTCCCCTGCCATATGCAGTTGTGGACCCCCAGCACACACTGATAAATGAGGTTTTAGAAGACAGCCCAAAAATGCAGCGCTGTCAGGGTGGAGACCTAGCAGGCTCCCCAGCTCTGCCTTTGGTAGCAGCTTCTCCTGCCAGCTGCCCAACAGTGCAGTGTTCTTGTGTTTGAGCACATGGCACATGAGTGGCACCAAATTTAAAAATCTTCTCCTCACTAGGCACCAGCTCAACCCATGGTCTCAGCTCTGAAATGTCTCTTTCATCTTCTTTTGTTGTCAAACCTACAGTATCAGCTAATCACTTATAAAAGCCTCATATCACAAAGTCTCTCTGAAGTATGGTTTATCCCAGTCACAAAAAGCCCCACAAAAAAACAATCACAAAAAATGTGTACTCAAAACGATCACTTAAAGGTTGGCTTTGCTTTCTGGCTTCTTCACTTTCAGGCAATATACATTTCACCCTTTCAAACTTGCTAATCTGGGAACTGAAATTTCACTTTGATGTTAGTGAGTATTGAGATGAGGGCAGAGAAGTGCAAGTGGCTCACTGGCCCTGGCTTCATGTACAACCATTCCCCAGCTGAACCACAGGCTCATCACCCCCTGAGCTGAGCTCAGCTGATGCTGCAGCCACTCTGCACCAGGAGAAGCATGTTACTGTCACAGCCTGAACCCTCTGTCACAGTTCCAGAGCTGGCATGTTAAAGGGGAAAGAAAAGAAAGAGTAACAAACATGAATTTCCCAATTAAAAATCACTGAGTTGTGACACTCAAATTCAGACTTTATTTTCATCTTTAAACACAAAAAACCTCTGGGATATGAGCCCTTCTGCATTGGTGTTACTGCACCTCACTGAGGGCAGACCTTGTCAGCTGTTTCATCATCTCCTTTCGTCTCACAGGCCCCTGACCTTCCCATGTGACTGGAAGAAGTCAGAAAGTCACAGTCGGTGCTGCCCTGGTACCTGCGGGTAGCATTCAATAACATGTGCTGCAAGCACAGGGCTGCTCCTGCCCTGACCCTCCTGCCAGAAGACTGTCAGGCAGCTGCTCTGTCTAAGCTGTACCCTGCTTAACAGAGGACAGTGCTTGTCTTTTTTCCCCTCTCCTCCTCCACTTGGAGCTCTTATTTCTCACCTCCCACTGCAACACTTATCAGAGAGTATATCCTTCACCTCCAGCTCAGCGTCCCTTTCCTCACACTGGAAAGTCACTGATGATGGGGGTGGAGGTGGCAGCTTGTTCTCAGCTCATTAATCTATCACAAACCTCTGCAGCAGGCTAGCTGCCTCCAGCCCTGATTCATTTTCAAGCACAAAGGATGTTTGTGTTTGATTGGGTATGCTGGATAAATTATTCCAAGCTGTGAATTTCATTTCATCACTCATCACAGACACGGGTTGAAATCCTGTGCATGAAGTCGACAGGTGAACTTCGATTGACCTCCAAGGCAACGTGGGACACTGGTCACCCTGAAATAAATAATAATGTAAATTAGATCAAAGGGGTCCACAGGAAGGGGATGTGCAAGAAGAGATCATTCACATCATCCTTATCTCTACTCCTGGTCTGTGGATTCACATATGAAGGGGATACTTGCTTCCTGTATCTCTAGTAGCTGTAAAACAGAAACACATCATTAAGGTTCCTCACAGTCCCAGCTCAGACAAACCCCAGAGGCTTCTAACCCAGCCCCAAGATGCCCTCATAATATCAGCCAGACCTTTCAGCTTTGCTGGTAGCTCTGATATCCCTATGGATAAGGGATGCTTCTCCTCTGGACACAGAGAAATCTCTGCCTACCTCCAGCAGAAAGCTTTCCCATGGGCCTCTCACCATCCCTGGAAGTGTCACTGCAGGGCTGATGGCTGGTGGCACAGCTTCAGCACTGCTCATTTTCCAGCAGAAGAGATGACTCAGACTCCCATTCCAAGGACATTTTAAACTGGTAAATCTGTCAAGTGCTCAACATGGAGCTCCTCCCAGAAATCAGAAGAAGCAAAACACCTATTTAATTTCTTATTCTTTTTTTCTTAAATGCCAGTGATTGTGCGGTAGGGTCTAGATGTGCATGCCTGGCTCTTTTTTCACAAAGACCCCAAATCCCAAAGTCAGACCAGGGAAATCAGTTGCAGATTTCAGAAAGTTTCTCTCGGCACCTCTACTGAGCCCAGGCAGACTGGAGTGAGTTGTTCAGCCAGAAATCAGCTGTCAGTTCTCAGCCCAGCCCTGCAGTACAGCATCCTCTCTGAACAAAGCCCCATATCACATATAACATCCCACAAGAGAGAGAGGGGGAGAAAGAAAAGGGGGGTAGACAGGTGACAGGAGGAACAGAGAAGAGAGCAGGACACACAGTCATGACCTGTGCTTGTTACTAGTGCAGCAATGCCCATCTGCACTTCACAGCTTGTGGTCTGTGCTCTGGAGCTGCTGAAGGTCCAATGGCTTCTTCCACTGCTGTGCCATGATGTGCCATGTCCTTGTCTGGGCATTACAGGCCCTGGAGGAAACTTTGAGGGAAAAGCTGCTCAGCATTAACTGCGCCCAGCAGGGCAGCGTGGGCACCGCCTCCCTGGCTGAATGATGGATGGCCTCAGCACTGCAACCTCCACAAAAATGCACTTGCCTGAATCTTCCACAGCACCTCACTGGCCTCCAGAGCCTAATTCCTGAAATTAGGTACTAGGGCAGAGGTTTTTGGTTTCCAAAGCAGACAATGTGCTGGAGAGTGGCCAGAGGCTGTGGGTACAGGGAGTGAGGGTGGGGTAATTTGGGGGGAAGCTTTCTGCCTGCAGGGAGAGCAGGATGCGTGAGAGCAGGTCTACAGCTCTCAGCTGGAGCAAAAATTACCGGCAGATTATCATCTTGATAGCAAGATTTAGTGCAAGGAGGGCCAGGCCAGGTGAGTCACCCTGCTGCTGCTGCCAGTCGTTGGGGCTGCTGATGGCTGTGATAACCCAATGAGCACCCAGTGGGGACCAGCAGGGAGATTGCCAGGTTAGTTATGGAGCTGGGCACTCTGGAACGTCAGCAGCTGCTGCCTGTGCCCCTTTGCAGCACCACATATTGGAGAGGACAGAGCCCAGGGCCTGAGACATGCCAGCTTTTGCCCTTGTTCCTTGGGTGGACTGCTCCTTGAGCACAGTGCAGCCAATCCTATCCAGAAATTGGGTGCAGAAGCAGATTTTGCTCCACCACAAGCTCCTCTGGAGTGCACATGAGGAGCTGAAGAGCTCCCAGGCCCAGCATAGCAACAGCTGAACCTGGCTCACTGAGCCATGGTTGAGCACCAGGCACTAAAACCTGTGGCAAGCCCAGAGCAAAGATCTTAAAGAACTGAAGCGGAAGGGAATAAATTCCCCAAAACAAGAAACAGCCTCTCTGGTTGTTTTCAAGAACACCAGGCTGTGGTGAGACAGGAAGGCCTGGGCTCTGCTGTCCTCAGTTCAGTCGTTTGCCACAGCAGATGAATGAGCTCAGACACTTGTGCTTTGCCTCAGAGCTTGCCTGCCCAGCACCTCA